TGTCTGCAATACTTGAGCAGACAAAGCAAAAAGTGGTATTTATACAGTGTCCTCATCCCACCATCATTTACAGTGCATTATAAAAGACAGCATCCATTCTGTGTGCCACTTCAGCACTGATGTATCATGGTATACTGCTCCTCAAGGGCATTTCTGGTTTGGAACTGAGGGAATGTCTCAGGCTATCTCTCACATAGTACTATACAGTTGAGAGTGTGGTGGTTGTGTTCAGGTAGTCACTGTTACTGCAGTCTCTCTTCAGGGAACAGCAGCAGAAAGATGCAATTCTCCCCAGGGAACAGACAATACCAGCAAAAAGACTTACTATACTACTGTAATTGCAATTATGCAAAGGACAGTATGTGGTGCTAATACTATGTGTAGGTGAAGCCTTAAGACCCAATTCAGCTTAACACCACAAAAAAAAGACATGTACCACAAAATCATAATAAATGCAATTACTGATTTTCAGTTCCATTAAAACCCAAGCCCAGAATGTCACAAGTATGTCTGCATGTCTGTCAGAGGATGATTTTGGAGTAAGATCCTCTCACAAGTCAGAACACAGAAGTACAGGAAAACTGTTTTTATTTCTCCAGCTCCTCCATATTGTCTAACTGAGGTATGGATTCAGGAGTGCTGAGAAAATGGGCTAGATCCCTGAACATGGTGGTTTTGGAAGAGTATCAAAACACAAGGCTATGATACTTATATTCAGGTCCTTGGAGACAGCAAACCTTACCCTGGCTCATTTGACCTGCTAACTCTGCTAAACTAAATCTTCCTCCTTTTGCCCATTAAGGTATTTTTAAAGAAAAAAAATTGTTCCTTTTTTTCCACCTCAATAAGTGTCTTAACCCGTTTGCTTACCATAGTGCCGATGGCCCTCTCTTCTCTTGAATCTCTTGCGAGATTTCTGATATATTTTTGCATTTGTGTAGGATGGGTGCAAATAAATGTTATACATCTCTAGTCTTATCAAGGGAAATCTAGACTTTAAAAACCAACTGGTATGACCTAGCAAAGTGTTGCAGTTTAATTTCCTCTGGGACAGTGAGTTTTCTTACAAAATTCATGCATTGTCGCCACTTGGACTACAAGGGGAAAGCAAGCAAGAGCATCCTGAATGTAAAAATGCAGAACATCCTCCAGTCAGAAATATTCAGCTTTCCAAAATATGTGGCAAAAGATATGCAAATTTCTCACCTTTCCTACTTACTAAGAGTAGGAGTGGGTGGTTTGGGGTTTTTTTTCCTACAATATTGGGTCTTGCAGCAGCAGAACTGTTGAGACAGATGCAGTCCTATGTTTTATATCACCAGTATCTGGAAACCTTCCTGATACTCTCACTTCTCATTTCCAAGTTTAACCTTTCTCTGATCACCAGAAATCCACTGGTGTGGTCTCCTTTCCATTCTAGGAGTCTGATACTTTCAATCTGTGTGTGTTCTTTGGTCATACCAGGGATTAATGACTAGGGTCAACAGAAAGGACTGCAAGGACTCTCCTATCTTTCAGTGAGTTTTATTGCTTAAGTGAACTGACATAACCAATAATTTGAGCTCCTTACATAAACACAATCAGCAGCTTCCAACAGTGATAATTTCCTACCATCTACACATCTCCATCATATCTGGAACCTTAGTTCTTAACTTCTGGGCTTTTTTTGACCAAGCCAATTCCACCAACATGTAGCTTTGCAGCTCTCCAGCAGCTTGTATCAGGTAGCCACTACCCATTTTTCCTGTCTTTAATTCACCACCTGGATATTGCCTTTTAGTCATCCAAGAGGGGAATAACACAACAATCTCAACAGGGACCATTAATAACATTCCAAACGTCCCCTGGAAGGAGAGCTCCGTGGTAAATGATTTTATGTAGCTGGTTCTATGAGATGTGGCTGCTGTTTGATTATCCCCAATGGGTGCCAATAATGCTACTCCTGAGTGTTTACAAATTATGTTTAGAGTCCAAGAGATTTTTTCAGTTTGGTTTTTTTTTTTTTTTTGCAGGACTGTGGCTTTTTAAATCTTTCCAAGTATGGAAGAGATACTGGAGGAAGACAGAAAGTAAGCCATATATGCCCTGGAGGAATGATGGGAATGTGGAATGACTAACCATGTGAATACCTCTGGAGGCAGAGTGTTTCCTTCTTCAGAGCTGTTAACTCATCATTTTCCTCCAAAGATACACGTTTGTATAAAAGGAAAAAAAATGTGATTAATGTAAGTAAGCAAGCAATTCTGGTCTTATCAGGTTCAGCCGAGAGAAAATTTGAGGAAGGGAGAAATGGGGATAATTTATCACCTTTTTATTTCACACCTACAGATGTTCACTACAATGTTCTTTATCCTTAAAGCACTGGAAGAAGTTAACTGTGATCTTGGGCAAAATGTCACCGCTAAGATGCAGGTAGCTCATGAGGAAAGCAAAAGTTTGAGTGGAAAGGGATACGCGTGTAGCATTGCTTAACGTTGTTACCATCTTTTTCTGTTTTACAATGGTGTTTAGTTAAAAACAGCAATGCATCCAGTTTTGAATCAAATTTGCTTCAAGGGAAAAGGAATTAAGATTTTTTTACCTACATAATCCACTCGATTGTTGTTAAATTGTACACTTTTGCTGTGCATCTCCCTGAAATTTTTCGCTGAACAGAAATTCTAGTTTCCACAAGGTGCGCTTTCATGTAAAGATAGAAACCAATAAGCAGGTTAGATGAAGAGCCTGTAGTTAGTTTGGGGGTAAATACACTAAGCAGCCTCTGTGAGGGGCACTTCCATTTTTTGGCACACCATGGAACAAGAAACTTTGTTAAGATGCAATGCGTGAGCGGGCTCACTTACGCATTGCATCTACTGGGTCTTGACAAAGTCCCACTCAACTCAGCATGGGCATAAAACCGTGTGCCAAAAAAAGACTGGCAGAAACAAGTTAGACGCTACACCAGGCCACGCGATTGCAGAAATTCCTGACAATTATTCAGTATACGCTGCCAGCTTCACGCTTTTCATAACAAAGTGAGTTTCTTGTTTTTCGGTGTGCCAAAACCCAGAAATCCTCTCTGTAGTGTCAACAACACTAGCGGTCTCGTAGGTACAGCACTCCAGAGTTGGGTTGTGGCCCCTGGGAATCCGTGCTCTGTCACCAGAAAACGCGTCTCCGGTGAGGCTGGAGAGGGCCCCGCAGGCGCCTCGGGACACAGGAACCTCCAGCAGGCCCTGCCCACGCCAGGCAGGCGGCCGAGCCC